TTTTGGAATATTTCCACATACGGTTGTTAACAAAAAAGGGGGTGATATAGAACTTGAAAACAGCGAAAATGGGGAAGGACATAGGGCGAAATGTGAGGAAAATAGTATAGAATACGTTATAATAGGAAAACAAAACAAGTACATAGAAATTTGTACATATTATTTATTAAATTTTTATACGTATTATTATATATTATACTTATATTATTATATAGTTGTTATAACGGTGTTAGGTTCTTGAGTTATATTTAATATTTATTAAGGTACTTAGTTGTTTGCATTATACATTTAGATTAAGAGTTTAATATTATAGTTAATAGTTATATTGTTATTATGTTTTGGCTGGTTATGTCATATACTAGCATAGTTGATTAGGATTTTGTTTATGAATGTATTGTCTAGTTATGTAAAAACATTATGTAAAAAAAGGAGAGATATACCATATTGGAACATGGTTTGTTATATCCACTTAATAATATGGTTATGCCCTCTTAACAAATGTATCCTCTTAATCTTGACATTTCTAGAATACACTCTGAAGTGTCAGCAGTTAAAACTTATAAATTCTCCACTGCTTGGGCGCACCTTAAGTCTTTGTTGGTACGTTCCAAGAGTATATTGTCAATGTGTCAATAAAGCTTCACCGTCGTAAAACTGAGTTTTTTTTAAAAACAAAAGCACCACAAAAAGAACTTTAACTGGCGCAGTCGGTAGGATCCGCAAAACTTAACAAACGAAGTTGGCGGAGGATTTTTGCTGGACGGTTTAGAGAATATAAGTCCGGTTCGGTAAACGATCTACCAGCAAAAAATCGCGAGTGTTTTTGTGACAAAAGAAACCAGTTGGAGACAACAAGACCTGAGAGAATCATCAAGAGAATATTGGTATCTGGGGACAAACTCGCCCTGTTTCTCAACGGCAACCTAGGATAAGCTAGCAGTAAGGAAACAAGAAAAAACAAAGAAGAAACAAACAACAATGAAAAACTGATTATCCTGTAAGTACACCAATCCTATAAAAATCATATTTTTCATAAAACTTAAAAACAAAAAATCCCGTTAATTGATTTTTTTTCATAGATTTAAGAAACTTTATTTTTAAGAATTCTTTTACTTTAATATTAAGGAAGAAAATAAATAATTTTCTTTATCTCTATATAAACTCTAATGAACTCTGACAGCGACACAGATACGGAATTAAGCAATCTTTCATACCGCCTTAAAAAAGCAAAATTTTCGAATCAATCCAAAACTAATCTAAATTCTGTAAATTCTGAAAATAGTAGTAGTTCAAATTCAAATATGGCGCAACCAAATGTAAACTTTCAATTACTAAGACTCTATGTAGACACGATTCTCACGTATGATGGTAACCCACATACACTTTCAATATTTTTAGATAACTGTACTAATTTTGTTAACACCTTTTATAAAGAAAACGATCAAGTAATAAATAATTTCTTAACAAGAGCAATTATTGGTAAACTTGTTGGTAGAGCTTTAAGTTTAGTAGGCACGCGAAGTCAAGAACTAAAATCCTAGCTAGACTTAAAAAACGCACTCCAATCCAATTTTGGTGATCAAAGAAATTTAGACTGTTTAGAACAAGATTTAATAATTTTAAGACCTAACAAAAATGAATTACCGTATAATTTTGGTATGAGATGCCAAGATGCACGATCATTGATTATATCTAAATTAAATTCTACTAACTTAAGTCATGATGAAAGAGTATTAAGAATCCACAATATCGAACAACTTTCATTAAAAACGTACATACGCGGATTAACAGGACAATTACAAAATAACATCAGATTAAGAAACCCTACAACATTAGAAAATGCGATGGCATTAGTAGTGAAGGAGGAAAATTTCTTGTATTGTCAAGGTAGAAACAATTCTTTAAACATACAAACATATCAACCAACACCATTAAGAGTTATTCTAATCAAAATCTAATAATAGATCAATAAATTATCAAAATCAATCACCAAATAATCCAGGCAACATTTTTTCTTCGCCACTTTATCAAAGACAAAATCCTTATAATCCACAAATAATATTTTTAGACAACCTGAGCCAATAAGAAATAATTTTAACCAACCAAATCAATTTATGAGACAAATTATCTAATAATTTCAAAAAATAGACCAATGTTTCAAAATCAAAATAATTTTACTAGAAATCCTAATTCATTTTCAAATAGACCTCAATTCCAAATAAAACGACCAGCACCGAATTGTAGCAATAGTTTTCCTAATCAAAATAATAATTTCCAACGATCTCCTTAATTTTAACCAAATAATAATCGACCTGAACCGATGGACACCTCATCCGGTAATACTTTTATTCAACAAATAAAAAACCTAAATATACACAAAATCAATTATATCAACAGGACATTGATCCAATGAACCAGACAGAAGAATATTTAAATGAGTATAATGACACTTATTATTTAGCTGATTCTTCAAACTGTAACTATTCAAGTTATTCGAATCCAGACGCTTATTATGACCAAAATCTCGAACCAAATGAAACTGATACTTTAAACTCTTATCAGTATACACAGACTCATAATGAAAATTACACTAATGAAAACGATATGCAACATGTTAACACGAACGACAATGTAAATTTTGTATAACGGAGACGAAAGAAACACCGACGTAATAAATATAAATTCGTTAGAAGATCAATTACCTTTCATTTTTATTCCAGAATTAAACGCACGATTTTTGATTGATACTGGTAGCACTAAAAGTTTAATTTCGCCAAATAACTATCTTTGTTTACCCAAATTATATTTTTAACGAAAACTTCTGTATAAGAACTGCACATATGTCAACTTTCCACAATGAAGTAGCTCATATACCTCTTTTGAAATTTTAGTCGATCAAACACACCATTTCTTTTCAATTTAGCAAAAAATTTGACCTAGAACATCGATTCCATTAACTTATAGAGTAATTAATGAAAAACCCTAAACAAATAATACAACAAAAAAATTAAACCAATAAATATATCTTTAACTATTCCACCTAGAACACAACAAGTAGTGAAATTACCTGTAAAATATAAACAAGGGACAGCGATAATGAACTATATAAAAATATGAAAATTTAGAAATACACAAGCCGTAGTAAGCATAAATATATTTTCGCTACAATAATAATAACAAACTCTTCAACCGAACAAATATCAATAAATATTAAGAACCTTTTGACGTAGAAATTATAAACACGGAAGAAATAAATTTCTCAGAAAAAATAGATATAGACGAAAATATACCATTCGATAAAACTAAAGATAATCTGTTAAAATCAAATTTAAAAAATATTAGTCTAGACCATTGTAATAAAGAAGAGAAAGATGCACTTTCTAGAATACCAATCAATGTATTAGAAGACGAATCATTGATCAATCATCAAGAGACTCTGACGAAGAACAAGAAGACGCTTTAAAATATTTAAGAGAATTAGCCGAATCATTAAATGAGGAACATGATCAACAAGCCATAAATAAGTAAAACAAAACTTCAGAAAAACCGAAAATTAACATAATATCTCACATTCAATTACAACCACCTAGAAAACCTGAGACAGAAGACATCGAAACTCAACATTCCACGCAAAATGAAACGACAAACGATGGAATAAAGAATTTATGACGAAATAATTAATAACAAAGTTAATCAAATATTAGTTTTCCTAATTCATATCCTAGATTAGATGTAAAACACGAATATTACAAACACCATAAAATTTTAACAGTAAATGTTCCTAAGACAAATAATAAAAATTTAATTTAAGATTTTGAGATCATACGACTAATGAAAAACAATATTGTTTATATTTCCATTCAGATGATGAATTATATATAATATATTTAATAAAATCTATTTGAACATTTTCTGAAAAAGGACCAAAACTTTTAAGATGTATGAAACTAGTCAATACTGTAACCGAAAAAGACGAGCAAATAATGTTAATTAAAAATCATCATGAAGGCAAAACGAATCATAGAGGTATATAAATATAGAATAAATGAAACATTAGAAGACATTTAAAAAGAACTATTATTGGATAAACATGACATCTGATATAACTGAATTTATAAATTCTTGCAGAAATTTGTAATGGAAGCAAAATATGCTAGAAAAACAACGTATTCACCTTTAATGCTTACTGAAACACCTTCAAAACCATTTCAAATTGTACATATGGATTTATTCTTTTACGATCATAAAATATACTTAACAATTATAGATTCATTCTCTAAATTTGCACAAGCTTTTAAAATCAACGGAAAAAATGCTATAGATGTAAGTAATGCTCTAATAAAGTATTTTTCACTATTTGGAATACCTGAAAAAATTGTAACAGATAAAGGCAGCGAATTTAATAATGATACTGTTAAAAGAAATATTAAATTTACATTATATAAAAATTCATTTCACAACACCTGCACATCATGAATCAAACGGTATAATAGAACGATTCCATTCCACTATTATTGAACACTTGCGAATAATAAAAGAAATGTATAAAAATGAAGAAGAAAATTTAATGGAATACGCATTAATAGGTTATAATAATTCAATTCATACTTCGACAAATTTTACCCCATTCGAATTAGTATTTGGTCATACAGATTTAAGAGACCCTAATGAAATATTTTCACCTAAAATATTTTATTCTGATTACATGAAAATCTAAAAATCGATTAGAAACTATTTGCAAAAATGTCAAACAAGATTTAAATTTAAGTAAGGAAAAGATTATTGAAAAAACTAATATACAGGGTGACGAAAATAAAGAATATTTTGTAGGACAAATAGTCTATAAAAAGAACCCGAATATTAGAAGTAAAAAAACAAAAATAAATTTTAGTTTTTTTTAATTTAATAACAAAACTTCAAAGAAATAGAGCTAGGAAATAACGGAAAAAGACAAAAAAAGAAGTGGTCCACATAAAGGAATTAAAAGAAACCTTCTAGCAATGGCATTCGCCTGTCCGGCATTAAACGTCATCTGCCATAAATGCAAATTTAAGGGGCACTATGAAAAATACTGCAAATCAACAAGAATATTCCGTCCTACTAATAAGTCAGCTACAACAGGACCACCAAAGAAGAAATTCAAACCTGGACAAAATGATAGGGCTGTTCACAATGTATCAGATGCAGCCGACGACACCGAATACGTATTTCATCTAGATGGCGACGAAGATACAGTCACCTGTGAAGTAGGCGGTGTTAATGTTGACATGCTTATTGATTCGGGAAGTAGGTCGAATATAATAGCTGAAGAATCTTGGGAAATCCTAAAGAAATCGGGAATTGTAGTTTTTAATCAAACAAACAACCTTAACAAAGTTCTCTTTGCATATGGAGCAAAAGAACCTTTAAACGTCTTAGGATCATTTGATGCTAAAATAAAACTAGGCGCAAGCCAAGAAAATGCAACTTTTTATGTAATAAAAATGGCAAGAGAAATTTGTTAGGCAAAACTACAGCGATCTCTTTAGGAGTTCTTAAAATTGGTCTTAATATAAGTAATGTAATAGAGTTATTTCCAAAATTTAAACGTGTTGATACATATTCCAATAGACAAAACCGTCAGCCCTGCTAGCCAACCATATAGACGGGTACCCATTCCGCTGGAAGCTAAAATCAATGCGAAATTAGATGAATTACTTAAATTAGATAATTGAAAAAATCAATGGACCATCGGAATGGGTAGCAGGCAGGCAGGTGCAGGTAGGTGCAGGCACATCCTTCTATGGTGCCTGTTTTAAAGGAAAACGGGGATGTCAGAATATGTATAGACATGCGCAAAGCGAACACTGCGATACAAAGGGAAAATTATCCTCTACCCACAATAGACGCACTTTTAACAAATTTTCGTAAAGCCAAGTTTTTTTCACGACTAGATATTAAAAATGCATTTCATCAAATTGAAATCGCCCCTTCATCCAGATATATAACCACATTTATATCCAGCAGAGGGTTATATAGATATAAACGTCTTTTATTTGGGATAAACGCGGCCCCAGAAATTTTTTCAAAACCATGGAACGATGCTGCTTCCATGCAACGGAACGGTTAACTTTATAGACGATATATTAATATATGGTACATCGGAAGAGGAACACGATAAGCGGATATCTTTGACTTTAAAAATTTTAAAAGAAAATAATGTTCTTCTGGGAAGAAAAATGCGTACGGTACTTCCAAGTAAAATTTTTGGGGCATATTTTATCCTCTCAAGGAATACGACCATTAGACAGTTACGTAGGGGTGGTTAAATCATTTAGAGCTCCCAAAACTTTAGACGAGTTGCATAGTTTCTTGGGGTTAGTTAATTTTATTGGAAAATGGCTACCAAATTTAGCTACTTAACAGAACCGCTAGAATTATTTTAAAACAAAAACTGTCAAAGAACGCTGACATTTCAATATTCTGGACTGATAAACAAACCCAAGCTTTTAATGAACTTAAAGTCTGCTTATCTCAAATTAAAACGCTAGGCTATTATGATCCAATGGATCGTACCCAGGTCATTGCAGATGCAAGTCTAGTAGGTCTAGGGTCCGTACTTATTCAGTTTGACAATAGCGGTCCTAGAATTATTGCTTAACAAAAGTCTAACAGATGTAGAGAAGTGCTACTGTTAAACCGAAAATGAGGCCTTGGCCTTAGTTTGGGCCGTAGAACATTTTAAGATGTATCTGTATGGTAAGGACCAATTCGAACTAATAACAGACCATAAACCACTCGAAACTATTTTTGGTCCTAGATCTCGTCCCTGTGCACGTATAGAACGTTGGGTCTTAAGACTTCAGTCATAATTTAAATAATTTATCGTCCAGGGAAAAATAACATTGCAGATCCGTTATCCCGACTTTGTGAAGGGCAAGTTCGAGCATCGGTTGAGAGTCACGATTTTGTCCACCAAATTGTCGCACACTCTTGTCCTGTCGCTGTGACAGTAAAAGAGATTAGAGAAAATACCGAATCTGACCAAGAAATTTTAGGACTAAAAGCAGGCATTGAACAAGATCGGTGGAGTGATGCTATCAGACACTGTCAAGTATTTAAAGAAGAATTCTGCTTTAGTAACGGGATTCTCTTAAGAGGTACGAGAATTGTAATTCCTGAAAAACTTAGACAACGAGTTCTAGAATCGGCGCATGAAGGCCATCCAGGAATTGTTGCAATGAAAAGTAGACTACGTACCAAAGTTTGGTGGCCCAGAATCGACGAACAAGCAGAAAAGATCGTTAAAGCATGTAAAGGGTGCACGTTGGTATCATCTTCCAATCCTCCCTATCCCATGAAAAGAAGACAAATCCCAACAGCTCCCTGAATAGACGTAGCCATGGATTTTATGGGTCCTCTGCCAAAAGGGGAATATCTTTTTGTTATCGTAGACTATTTTAGCAGATATAAGGAAATTAAAATCATGAAAAAATAACGTCGCACAACCACCACGTCTCTAAAGAAATTTTTTCAAGGCTGGGTTTTCCGGTATCAGTAACTTGTGACAATGGCAAACAATTCACAAGCGAAGAAATAAAATCATTTTTTAAGGAAAGGCATAAAATTATATCACTCAATTCCATACTGGCCTCAGATGAACGGGGAGGTTGAACGACAGAATAGGGACATCCTCAAACGTTTAAAGATAAGCCAAAGCCTCAAGACAAATTGGCATGAGGAACTGGTAGATTATCTTATGATGTACAACAGCACACCTCATGCAACCACGGGGAAAACTCCTAGCGAATTATTCTATCGACGTCAGTTTAGGGACAAATTACCAACTATCACAGATAACCAACATAACGTTTTTGATGATGAAACAATAGACAGAGATCGAGAGTACAAAAAGAAAAAAGGTAACGAAAATATGGATAGGAAACGAAAGGCAACGGATAATATTGACATAAATATTGGCGATAAAGTATATCAAAAATTTAATTGTCAAATACACCAGAATATGACTCAACACCACACACAGTAATTAAAAAGCTAGGGGGTGATGTTGTTATTCAAGATGCGCAAACCTGGCAAGAGTTAAGGCGAAACATAGTTCACCTTAAAAAATTAGAGGGTCAGTGGCAAGTAGTAAATAATGAAGATAATAGTAAATCAAAATAGAAAAAAAAAAAAACGGTCATAGGTCAATAACAAATTTATTAACCAAATAAATAACAAATAACAATAATTAAACAACCAAATAATAAAAAATAATATAAATAAATAAATAATATAAGAAACCATTTATTTACAGATTTCATTAAACAAGATGAGAAATACCTGTTCTAAAGATGGGGGTGAAGGTTGTTAATTATCCTATTATTATTATGAGTTTTCTAGATAATATGTGTTACCATTATTATTATATATTGTTATATTGTTATATATTATGTGTATTAAGTATTATATTATATTGTTATATTGATATATATATTTGTCATTATTTTTAATATTGTTATTATTAGGAGTTAGTTCTTTCGTTAGCTTTGTTCATTGTAATTATATTAGATTATTGTTGTTTAAAATTTTGTTTTAAGACAAAGGAAGAGATGTAATGTATTGATTTGTAAAAAGAGGATGATTCAGATTGTTGTTGTTCTGATAAGGTGAGGCGAGCGGGGATCGAGAGGGTAGTTTACGGGCTGTAGCGTAGAGCGTTACGTGATTGTAAAAGTGTATATAAGAATATACGATATTACAAACAATAGAAGTGTTTTATTAACAAATAGCAATCACCACATAAAGAAACCGGTATCGAATTATTTCACACTATACCTTATGGGCCTCAACAAAATGGCGAAGTTGAACGACAAAATCGTGACATACTAAAGAGAATTGTGTACTACAAGCTTTAAAACAAAAACTGGAAAGGGATCTCGATTACATTATGATGTACAATAGTACACCGCACAGTATTACCGGTAAATCTCCATCCGAATTGATGAGATTTTTTAGAGACAAGATTCCTAGCATCAGCGATCTAGAAAACAATAATTTAGACAGTGAAGTTAGAGACAGAGACAAAATATTAAAAGAACAAGGAAAAGAATACGGGGACAGAAAACGAAAGGCAGTAGAAACTAATTTGGAGCCAGGTGACAAAGTTTATGTGAAAATTTAATTAAAGTAATAAAACTTGTCCAAACTTTAATCCAAGTCCACATACAGTAATAAATAAAAATGGAGGTGATATTCAAATTAGGAATGACGAAACAGGTCAAGATTATCGAAGAAATATAATACATTTAAAGAAAATTGAAGGAGAATGGAAAGTCACTAATAAACCAGAACAAAATGATAGTAGTCATGAGCATGACTAGGGAACTATTGAATGAAGTTAAATGTATTGTTTGGATAGTGGGTATTTTGTGATTTAACTTAATTTTATTGAAGCAAAATATAGTCCCTAAGAGATTATTATTAGCATTAAGTTATACTAATTGCTGTTTATTGTAAATTGTAATTAGTTAAATTAATATATCTAGGTAATAAGTTATATCGTTTTAGTTATAGGTTGCAGAAGTTATATCTTGTTGCTAATTTTGTTAATGTATTTCAATTTGTTTAAAAGAAGAAGGTGGATGTAGTGTTCAATAATTTAGAGATTATTATTATATAAAAAATGTACTCTGAATAACTGTAAACAACAATGTTTATCTTTACGTAATGCGGAAAGGCGAGTTCAGGCAATACACGATAGCCAGCAAGCAAACAGTATTTTATTTTAAACCCCAGAGTTTTCGTGTATTCTACATGAACCTTTTATTTTATTTGATTCTTTTACAAATTTAATTTATTGGAGTATTAATTTCAATAATGTAATCGGGAGATTAATATATTTAACAGAAATTGATATTTTAAAATATAATTCTAACTAGCTTGACAAACAATATCTTCTCTGGGCCGAAATCATGGTACAAAGAATACAAGGTATGATATGCAGGTTGGTCGCTACGTCACAGGTGATAAATGGCAACATATCAGCACGCCCCGCGCGCCAGTTCAAATCGTCAAGACATTGTTATAAACCTGTTTTTTTTTTGTTTATATACCGTCATTGAATTATCGCTAAGCAGTTACTGTGGAGCAGTGCATAAGGAGTCGGGCTAGGAAGCGAGAGACCGGAGTTCGAATCTCGGCCGGAACATCACTTTTTATTTATTTTTTTAAATACTGTTGTATTCTATAGTTTATTTTTGTAGTATAAAAAAAGAACTATTTATTCTGTTATTTTTTAATCTCCGTTATTAATATAAATTACTTGTTAGTACACACCTCATTTAATATAAAATAATATTCTACTTTTTGAAATGTATCAAGCCCTAATTGTACCTAAAAGTAATATATTTTAGTGATATACCCATTGTAAACTATTTAATATTTCAGTCACTTAAAAGTTAATTTGCATTGAATAATTGCCTACCATTAAAGGAAATTTAAGCTATATAACCCTTGATGGGCATATTCTGGGTATGCAAATACTTTAAATTTTGGGTGTCGTTCAACTGATTTATTCTCAAAACCAGAAACATCTACATATAAAAAAGAAGCACAGGTCACTAATTATAATAAACTTCACCCTTTGGTATTACTTCCACTAATTATAATAAACTTCACCCTTGGAATTACTTCTATCACAATTACAATACGTTCATCTGTATTGGCATTTTCTACTTTTCGATGGGAAACAATAAACTTTCCAAGATTTTTTAAATGATGTAACAATTCCTCTTGTGGTTATTTTTCCATAGATATCCTCATCTCTGTCCTCATGTGAATTCAGAGGCAATAAAAAATGAAAATTATTTACCATAAAATATCAAAACTAAAAAACCCACAACAATTTATAAATTGAACACAGAAATAAATTCTAGTATTTTTACCTCATTATCGTCCAAATCCATGTTAATAGATAATTATTATTTAAATATATTTTGGAACTGCTGGTTTTAGTAATTATTAAATTAAACGAACTAAAAGTCTTTAAAATAAAACAATTCTTCAACTCATAATCCCCAAAATGCAGATCTCCGTCAACTTTCTATTTTTATTTATTCATTATTTTCCTAGTGACGTCACAGGTGGTATGCGCGAACTGAACGAAATTGGAGCCGCTATCGATCATACCTTGTATTCTTTGTACCATGGGCCGAAATCAACAATCTCTGACATTCAACTGTTTCCAAAGCATACTACTCCGCTACTCGCAAACATCAGCGGACACGGGGAGCAGGCACGGCGTGAAAATGACCGCCTATCATAAGGATCATAGGCGTCGATAACATTCGGCCATTCCTGACTTTTGAGTGTCCTCACACCTCTGAATCACACTAAAGGGACATAAATAATCAGAACCTTTAAATGGCATTTTTAAAGGCTGAAATAAAATATTTATTAGTTTTTTTTTGCTGTTATTTAGTCTTATCAGCTAATTGCTACCATTGTTACATCACACTAAAAGGACAAAAATCAGAATCGTTCGTTTAAAGGACATTTTAAATGCTGAAATAAAAATATATTATGTTAGATTGTTTGCTGTTGATACTAGACAATTGATACAAACCACCACAAACCTTATCAGCTTAATTGTTACCATTATTACAGCACACTAAAAGGGTGTTTATAACCGTTTAAAGTGACATTTTTAAATGCTACAAACATATGTTAGATTGTTTGCTGTTGATACTAGACAATTGATACAAAACCAATTGACAAAACTTTATCAGCTAATTGTTACTATTATTACAACACACTAAAAGGGGAAACATAATAGTCAGAATCATTTAAAGGACATTTTAAAGCTGAAATAAAATATAGTTAGATTGTTCACTGCTCATACTGGAGCTACGTCTTATTTGTTACTTAAATAAATAAAATGTAAAAGATAATATCGTAACTCACCTGGTGGAAACAATACTCAAAAACTCATGATGGACAAATAAATTATTCAGGGACAAAAAATTTCTCAAAAGGTAAAATAAACGAATTACTTATTATACATATATTGGTGTTACACGCAATCTGCAGATTGCGTGCAACAAAATGAAGTTAAATCTCAAATCTAAAATCTATATTCTAAAATCTAAAATCTAACTATGGGCCCACGCCTATTCCAGCCACTGGAAAAGAGAGCAATCCGGGTCGAACTAACCAGACCGAATACCGGGACTCATCCCTATTCGCAAGTCTTGTCCGTCCTACTCACAAAGCGCCCAGGTGATAAACTCATACCTTAGCAACCACCACACGCCTTTTCCAGCTATCATACTAACATTTACCTTGAAAAAGAGAGTACCGGATAGAACTAACCCTACTCCTTCTTTTTCCTATCCTAATACAGGTCTGAATCTACCATAACCAAATCCATAGCTTGCCATACCTAGCTATTCCACAGCACTTGTTCAGTAACCTTGCATGCCATTCTAGGATGTTTCTAACTTCATATCAACCAATCCTCAGCTTCTTAGAAATTCAAATGAACCTGTCTACCTTGGAGATTGATTGGATCCTATTAGCTGTGTCGAAGTGATCCTTAGCAGATCCTTAGTAGATCTAACGCTGAATATAGTTCGCTACGCATCCAATTTTTCTTTTATTCCGCTTGATATTTCGCATAATTCGCTACTAATTTACGCCGAAACTCGCTAACGTCGATCATTTACGCCCGGAGGGATAAACGCAACTTGTCCAGATACGCTCATTTTGCTCCTAGTGCTTAGATTTCACACAATCAAGCTGAATGTTTGAAACATTTCAACCTAGATATCGTCATGCAAGTCGTTACACATGCTAGAGATTATGCCTCTACTTGTCCCATTCCGTGGATGGCAAAGAGTATTCAGGTGAGTGAAATATAGCTAGTTCATATTGAAATTATTCGTTTTAGGTGAAAGGTATCCTAAATGATTGAGTTGTAAAACTCATATATTTACGCATAAAGATTTAAGTACATACCTAGGTAGCTTAGTTTATGTATGTATTTTGAATTAAAATAATATTACCGCTTTATTTATTTTTGTTTACGCATAATATGAAAAGTGTATGCATTTTATATAAGATTAAGATAATCGGATTTGCTAGTTGTATATTAACTATTAAACATTTTAAAACTATTTAAACATGTTTTTACCGAAACAATATGTTATTTCCGAGAATATTTATTTTATGTCGTCCTTTAGTAGTTTGTTTTCGAAATATCTACAGCGTGTTGTGAAATCTATTACATAATAGTACTCTGGCGCCTAGAATTTGACCCATCTGGACATTTACTTTAATTTCTAATTAAAAGAAATTACGCTTTTATTAAAAAGTAGCCCTGTGTACTTTAATAAACGCTTCGTTCTCATCTTCTACAAAATT